AATGTTACGAAAACTTGTCATACCATTGTTGGATGGAGCTGGAGCCAGTGTCTGGCCATAACGTGTGTAAGAGTATAAGAGCAGTGCTGTAAATACGCAACCTTGCAGAGCAAGTTGAGGTCTTGAGAATTCCGGGGGTTGGAGGTGTGAACTGCATATTCTGACCACCTGGGTTCTGGTAGTTAGGAAATCCCGAATCAAGTACAAAAAGAAGGTGTTTAGTCAAATAAGTTAGTTAAGTCTCCAGTCTGGGGTGAATGATGTATTAAAAGCTGAACTGAAGTCTATAAGCATCAGTTTTCATAAGTCCCCCTTTGAGGCTTGTGCAGGACTGTTTTTTTCAATCTCAAACTCGTGTGTTATTACTGCTGTGTGTGTGTGTCCACTCCCCTCCCAAAACATTCTAATATTCACGCCGCCGACCTGCTTGCCTACATTCTTTTTGTTTGAAAAAACCCACTTAATTCACCTTTTCAACTTCATTTGGTTCAACTATAATTTGTAACTATCGTCGACTATATAATTGTACATTGATAATGTTCTTCCCTTGGAGTTCACCTCGAACTTAGATAATCTATACCAAGAAACAATGAAGCTATTCTTCCAACATTTCATAAAGACATGTGTAAAATTTTGTTTTGTTAAATTTAATCATTTAAATGGTTAACTATGAATTTTAATATGTTAAATAACGTCCGTCTTCGTGTGTGCAATCTTAACATAGTAACTTCTGTTTCTGAAGGAACTGGAAAAGTAAGAAATTCTTTCTTTGGAAATTGGATACCTGATCAATTTTTGCTTACTAGACTCAGCAAACCTCTAGTCACTAGACACAATAGAGACAATTCATGTTATTTGCAAATGGTCCATCATGTGGCATTTCTGTTGGCCATCTCTGGTGTTCTGCTTGTCAGTATGCGTGTATCCTCAGTTCCTGGTTCCTTACCAAAACTGGTTCTGGATTTTAAATGGAAGCAACAGAGGAACTACACACTCCTGAGGATCACTAAGACACTGCTACGACTCTGTTGTACCACCCTAGCAATAGACTGTTTTAGCTTCTATGCTCTGGTAAATCCCTTGGTTTGGTTTGAGTCATTTAGGATATTATGATTGGACAGTTTCTTTGCTTAATCTCTTCCACAAGTCTAAAAAATAAGACACAGGATGAATTGTCTAATGTCTGTCATACGTACTATAACCACCAAATTAAGTGTTTTTTCACGGCAATATTAACTGTAAATTTAAACATATTATCAGAATAAACTGGCATGTAGATGAGTAATACTGTTGAGTCTTATCTGTGTTTGTGATTCTTGTCTTGGTTCAGTAATACTGATGTCCCCTGAGTTCCCATGAATTTAGGAGGAGTGTTCATTGTTTGGTAATAGATATCTGATCTGTGTTTGCTACAAGCAAACAACATCAGTCAAAGACTAAAGTTTTTTTTCTTTCATTTTCAATGCAGGGTTGTATGATGAGCAAGCAGCATAACTGTGGAACACAGTTCATTGCTTTAACCTATTTTATGTGATTTCACAGTAATATGTACTGTAAATGTGAACATATTATCAGAATAAAGTGGCATGTAAATGAGATATACTGCTGTGTCCTCTTTGTGTTCGTCATTCTTGTGTTGGTTCAGTAATACTGATGTCCCTTGAGATCCCATGAATGTAGGTGTGGTTTTCATTGTTTGGCAATATATATATATATGATCCATGTTTGTTGTACTATAAACTTTCAAGGTTATTTTATTGTCAAATTCAGGTTGTATAATGAAATTCAGATATAGTTATTTTCATGCTACTTATACTACTAACAAATAAATTGATAAGTGATAAGTCAAAAAATAAGAAAAAAGTGTTGAGGATGAATTTAGCAGTCTTACAGCCTGAGTGACGAAGCTAAGTCATCTTCCCAGATGACAACAGGATGATCAGACTGTTGCTGGGCTGGGTACAGTCTTTTAGTATCCTTGGGGCTCTGTGGTCTCTGTTGTCTCTAGCCACCACCCTCGCATTCCCTGCTTCTCTCCCCAGGATCTACACTTAACTCAACAATCCCTAGACCTAGGTTACGACAGAAAGGGATTATAGAAAATGTTATTACTCTATGATTATTTGATTAACAAGACTAGTGAAAATAAAACACCTCAAAGATTTGGTACTAACCCTGTAGATCAGGGGACTCAAACAGCCAGCCCGGGGCCAATGGCATTATTTCATAAATATAATATAATCTGGCATGCAGGATTATTATTTTTAAATAAATGTTTCTAGTTGTTTCATATCAATTTAAACTACCGCTTCATTTTCCTATTAAAATAGAATCCCAATTCAATTTCTTTTGTATTATTTTGTTTGGCACCAAATGATAGCAAAGGTCAGAGGTTTAATGTGTGCACACAGTTGAAAAGCAGAGAGCAGATAGCTGAATTCAGTGAGTTACAGGTACTGAAGAAAAAAGTGTTACAACCATACCCTGTGTTTCTATGTCTCTGTTCTTTTTGATTTTTATTGGGTGTTTTGCATATTTGCTTTTATGTTTAAATGCGATATATAAACTAAAGTGAAGAGGGTGCTGTTTATTGTGTCCTTTAAGGTTTGTTAGAAAACTGCAATGCAAAAGTCAGAATCATTGGTGGAAACAAACTAAAAAAATAAAATTCATTCACTTCTCACTTTGACTGATAATTGTTTAATTTCTATTATAATCTATTGCTCCATCTAGGGTTTTTAACTCTTCATTTTGTAACATATGCAAATAAAAAGATTGACAATTGGTTTAATAAAGAAATAGCAAACCACATACATCAATTTTACATTCTCAATTTTGAGGATTTCATAAAAAAACACAAATGTTTCAAAAATGCTTTTTAGGTGCTACAAAAGAGTTTGACATGACTGAGATAAATAGATTGTAGATCAGTAAAAGTAAAAATCAGGAAAAGCAGATTATCTGTCACATTTACTACTGTCAGAACACAGTTAATATTTCAGGAATAATGACCAGAACTGGAGCTTTAACATATAGCCTACAGTTATTTTATTTTGTTTTGGCAATGTTTCACATTTTACATATTTAGTTGTAAATTAAGAAATTTATCAAAATATTCTGTACTCACCAGTGGATTGACTGTAGGCATTGCCAATGTTTGTCTTAACTACTTTATTACTTTATTAAAGGGTCCAATGGCCCCACTCCCACCCTGTTGCTGCACTGAACACTACCATTTAATATTCATTTTAAATAGACATATTCTAATACATGTACAGATCATTGTTGTTTGTTGTGATTACTTTGGTTATGTAGCATATTTACTACCATAATTGTTATCTGCATAATAATACACCACTGCGCTGCATAAGAATTTGTATATATCGACTGTACTGTAAAATAAAAATGCTTCTTTGATGATGCAACAAGAGATAAAATTATCTAGTATATTGTTATTTATCTATGTAGATCCCCATACAGACACTACAGAGTAAAAGCTGTCAGAATAAACTGTGTGAATTAAGAATGATCAATTTTTTTTTTTAATATTATTGATTTCAATCATGCCAAAGGTACAAATAGGTATTATTAGAGCACGCCACAAAAAACAGACTTCCACGTAGGAGACACCGGTGTTTCTTTGCTCAGTGTTTTTCTGGTGGGTAGTTTTGTCGGGTTTAAACAGTGAACACTGAATAAAGATGATTAAATTATAATATGATTTGTCATTATAGTTACAATTTGAAATTCATTTGAACAGTTTTGGAGTATTAAAAAATGCTCACTTTTAATTTAGTACATCAATATTAGAGCAGGTTTAAGTGTACTTTGTACAACTTGAATGTGTACAAGTAATTATTAAACAGATTACAGACTTCGTTTGTGAAATGTTGTGTTAAGTAGCTGGAAAAAGTTAGAACTAATTATAACACCTCATCTGAGAGCTTATAGCTTATCTTGTTTTTCTCCTCAAAAACAATAAAATCAACCATTTTTGTTGCATCATAAATTTGTTTTTGTTTTTTCAGTTTTTCTATTAAATCCTAAAATGTGCAAAAGTGGATGTGTGGTTTGTTATTTTATTTCATTAAGAAAAAGCTGTATATGAATTATAATATAATGGATTATAATATAATATAAAGAAATAGAATAAACAACTATCGATAAGTCAAAGTGAGAATTGTATCAATTTGAATAATTTGTAAATCTGTGTTTCCACCAATTATTCCGACTGCTGCATTTTTTTCCTGATTTACAACAGATGTTAAAGGACACATAAAGGTCACATTTTGTGTGTCTTAAGGCAACTGATAGAAAACAACACCCTCTGCTGTGCCAAGCCAGTGCAGTGCAGGAGATCTACTTCAATTTCAAGTAATTTGCCTTGGTAAGTTGGCATACAATGAACATACAGAAAAATTCTCAACACTAATAAAATTAAATAGATAATAATAGTTTATTACATAATCTGACTCGATAGAAAACTTTACCTGCACACATACGATCGATGACGTAATCCCATGTCCGACCTCGACTGGGTCATTGGAGGTGGTTATCAGGACATATAAATACTCTGCGGGGTGCGGCTGGCATGACAAGCTGGACTGGGACAGCAAATTGAACTTTACCACAGGAAGGGCCAGAGCAGTCTGTTCCTTCCTGAGAAGGCTGGTGATAAACATTCAACATCTGCTAATAAACCTCTAGCAGATGTTTTACGTCTGTGGTGGCCAGGCATCTCTTCTGGTGCTGGGTTGCTGGAGAGAAAGACGCCGCTCGACTGGCGAGCCTGTGATGAGAGCTAGGCTTCAGTAGTTAGGCCCGCCACAGAAGCTACGGAACATCAATGTACAGTGATGGCGAGAGAAGGACCCTGGACAAACTGCTGATCTTAAACTCCACAAGGAACCACCAAAAACAAGCCCACACACCACTCTCACAACACCTTCACCAGGCAGAGGAGTGTGTTCAGTGGCAGACTGCTGTCCCAATCCAGCTCCACCAACAGACTCAAAAACTCTTTCGTCCCCCTGGCCATCAGACTGTACAACAGCTCTTAGTCAAGGCAGGGAGGACAATAGACAATAGACAATAGACAATGGACAATTTCTACCTCCATTTGCACTCCACTCCATTTGCACTGTTTACTGTTTGCACTGTTTACTGTAGCTACTGTGTTATAAGTTAATTTTATTTTATTTACTTACTGCATACAGACTTTAAGCAGGAAAAGGACAACACAGCGAATGCATACTAAGTCCCAGTTACTGAGGTGAAACAAATGAATGCGTAACAATTGTTTGGCGAGACAATCACATATAGCACCTGGTCCAAGGTGATTGCTGATGTGTATAAATAGGAATAATAAGAGGAATTCGAATTGAGCAGGTCTAGATCGTATCTTTATAAAATTTCCACACATTCAGTTTAACTTTTTTTGTGGGGGATACAACATAAAGGCTGAGCCTTTAGTCATAGTGACAGTGACAGTCTTAGGATTTTGGAATGACTATTAACAAGCTATTAGTCTACTGGTCTTTGAACATTTATGATATCAATTTAATTATTTAAATCTATTTTAACAGTTGGCTGATAAACTCCCCCAGTACTCCAAACTCAGGCTTTAAGACCGCTAACTAGCTTGTGGCAGCAGGAAAGTGAGCACATGCAGCAGTGCTGTGTTACAAGCAGTGATGGGCAAGTTACAAAAAAATAGCAATTAGTTACTTTGTGTGTTTCAGTTCTTTTATTAAAGCACACAGCTGTCGGCTATATTATTTGAGTGTTGCTATGGGACAAATATATCTAGTTATCATTACTCCCAACCATCAGGGGGCAGCAACAAGTAGAGTTCTTCCTTGTAAGCTACACTTACTGCGTTGGTTAGTAGACAATAGGACTGTCACTTTTTATTCTGTGGCTCAGGAGGTCCACTAATCAGCTCCCCAAATTGCTCCCAATGCTGTGCATGGGTGTGTAAATGTGAGTGACTGAGTTAGTTTCTGTTTGTGATTGCCTTTGCCATCAGTGCAACACTTGCTAACGTTAGCTTGCCACCCAAGTGAGGCAGCGGAGCGCATCTGACCACTTGCCAGAAGCCTGTTAAAATGTCATAACCCATTAGAGAGCAAGATTTATAAGCATAGATATGCGGATATGAACCCAATGTCTTATCGCATAGTAGAATTTTGAAATTATGTTTTTCTGAGTGCTGTAATACATGTGTTTATTGATAATTTATTCAAATGAATTGCGCTTAATCTAAAATTTGATCAAATGTGACTTTTATTGTAATTTATTACTTTACTAGTTACCGCTAAAAATAATTACAGTGAAGCGTTGGTTACAAGAGAAAAGGTCTCTCTGTGACAGGTTGGAGCTCTGGCTGGACACTGTTTTTATTTTTCTGTGAATATCCCACTGATTAAAAGTGCATTGACAAAGACCCTCCTTGTCAACTAAGTTTTACTTGTTTTAGGGGACAGCCTTATAGGACTGTATGCTAGGGAAAAGGTTTTTATCACAATAATTCCCACGATTGGGCATTATAAAATATACACCAATGTAGTAAGTAAAATAGTAACCCTATGAAAAGAAAAAAAAAACTGAACCCCCATTCCCCACCCCTTTGGTTATTTAGAATAGACATAAGGAACAATGGCTACAAATAATAAACCTATTCCAATTTTATTTCTGCATTATTTTAAAGTTCCTGTGTGTAGGATTTAGTGGCATCTAGGGATGTCGTTGCAGACTGCAACCCCCTTGCTTCACACTCCCCTTCCAAGTGCGAAAGAGAAACTACAGTAGAAAAAGAATTGTGAATGCCTCTATGTGGAGTGCTTCTAAGCTACTGTACAGACATGTCATCTGTAGATAAAAAAAGCCAGAAAATTCCTATATCCAGGCTATTAAACACTAATGAAAAGCTAACTATGAATATTATATTCCATTACTGCCAATAGATTCGCCTACTTGTTACACACTGGACCTTTAAGTGCCTGCTATTATTATTATTATTTTAGTCCTGAAATGTTAATGTTAATCCTGGTTCAAAAATGTAAAGCACTTTGTAACTTTGCTTTGATCTTACCTGACAGGACTGTGCCAGACTCATGCCCACCCTAAAGCGGGCGGACATGCCTGGAGGAAGGGAGGTGGGCAGCGCATTGCCCAGGCCTGGATCGATCACCCGGATACATCTGACCACCGCCTCCACTATAAGCTCACTGCTGAACAGTTTGATGCTGTCGATCTCCTCGCTCGCCTCCCTATGGATCACAAGATACAAGTCAGTTACACAGCTAACGTTACTTATACTTATCTTATCTAATAATAATAAAGTCTTATTCAATGCAAGCTCACGAACCTCGCCTTAAATAACCCACATCATCTCTGATCATATGATGGCCTTACGTTCACTAACGTTACATGAATAGTTTCTGACTAAGTTACCAAATGTAACATTAGTCAGCTAACGTATCACTTAACTTAACGTTAACTTCAAGCTGACATTGTACCCAACTGTACATTAATAAAATGTTGATACTTACATGCCGACTTGTTTGAGGGCGTGAATCAAAATTTTGTCAACTTCTTCCATCACTGAAGTTTTTATTGAGATGTAGCTACTACCTAACAGACAGGAGAGACGTTAAAAGAGCACCTGATGCTAGCGGTTAATTCATAACATCCAGTTAGCTAATATTAGTGTGAGTTTCCCTCGGATGAAAGCAGGCAATAGAACTAACGTTAGCTTCCATCTTCTGTTAGCTAACTTAGAAACTAGCTACTAAATTAACAGCTACTTCATTAGCAAGGCAGACAAAATCCATTGTATTCTTCATTGCATTTAAAGCGCTTCGCTACAAATGCGCTTTTGATATAAAGACAGATTTGTTTTGCATTCCTTACTAATTGAACTGGACCGGTACTATCTGCTACAAACGTAACAAATCTGACATTTGCTGTCTTGTTTAGTGTGGAAAGGAAGTAATAGGGAAATAAAGCAGCGGTGTTTCTGGGAACAGAAGTTTTATCTCGACTTGCTGTCATCGAACAAATGGCAACTCAGCAACCTAGAAATACACTTCCCAGCATGCACCAAAAGAGACAGTCTCATGACCGGATGTCATTTTTTTTTTTCTATGGATGTAGTTTTTCTCCCAGGGTGGCGAAGTTATAACCCACCCTATTCTTGGCTAGTACTCGTTGTCTTTATTGGTTTGGTTTAGGTCAGGTTTAGGCACGAGGAGAGAGATTGGTTAGGGTTAACGGAAGAATGCCAGGGTAAACCTATAAGAGGTAGAGTACTGACAGGAACTAGGAAAAGAGATCACATCTCTCCTGTTCTAGCTTCTCTGCATTGCCTCCCTGTTAAATTAAAAATAGAATTTAAAATCCTCCTCCTCACCTACACAGCTCTTCATGGTCAGGCCCCTTCATACCTCAAAGAGCTCATAGTACCATATTACTATTGATGGGCAAATGAAGCTTTGCTGAAGCACCTGAAACCGACTTGACCAATTGTTTCGAAAAATGGGTTCATGTAATCGAATCTTCAGTTTACAGGTGACCATCTCCTGGGCAAAGTACAAGGCTGCAGTCAAGATTAGGCAGGCTGGTTGCTGGGACAGGCAAGGCTTTTAAATTACATACCTCGCATAGGCACACACGCACAAACCCACACCTCAATGAGCAGCCATGGTTGGGAGAAACTGTTTGTAGAAAACCACCTTTCGTGGTTCTAAAGCATGCTTTGCTTGATCCACTCTTGGATTATAAGTAATCTTCTGGCGTTTGAACAGTTCTTGATCCTATATCATGTTCTAGTTTACAAATCAAGAATTAATGAATGTGCTACTTGCTGTTATTGAGGGAGAGAAACTGCTGGGAAGAATATTGGTA